GAATGGAATGGAATGGAATGGAATGGAATGGAATGGAATGGAATGGAATAGAACAGAATTCTTTATTGGCCAAGTGTGAAAGCTATACAGAACATGTGTCATCACCTCTTATCCAAAGTAGTAACATGATTTGGGAAGTAAAACAAAAGTAGTGAGAATAAATTTTGGACCAGTTCAGCGAGGTTGTAAAAATTCAGAAATGTTTTACATAGCAGGGCTATTAAGTAGTGGTTGGGAATACATTTTGCTCCACAGCACACATATATAATTGGTGGGGGAGGGGAGTACTGTCTTTTTATGATCTCTGGATATTGTTCATCAACTTACAAATGATCGTGAGATGAGGCTTTGTTATAAATTTCTCTATACTCCAATTGTAAAAAGTTCTTCTGACAATGTTCATTAAGTTTTGCCATGCATACCAATGGGTCAATCTGGTTGTCAGCCATGTTATAACCTAGAAGAAAAAAAATCACAATAGGAATATTTACTAGCAACTCTCTAAACATAGCAATGGGTAACAGTAGCCCCATGTATATTATGTTGCAATAGGTAACTAACACATGAATGACAATGAATAGGACTTCCCAATACAGTAAATTGATGAGCGGAAAATTCAGAGTCACTCAGTTTCATTAGGTTAATTCTGAGCCTGTTCTTTCCAATTTAGATGCCTAAAGCCTCCCAATCTAGAGACAGATCAGCCAAGTATTGAGATAATACAACTAAATATCAAATACTGATATCTGAACTCATACTGATAGATGACCCTGGCCAGTAACCTCACATAGAAGTTTAGGAAGAGCTGGCTACAAACTTGGTTGGCTTCAAAAAGTGTTGAACCAATTCAGGGAAATTATGACAATCAGTGGCTACCTTGATTGCAGGGTGATTGTCTCTGAAGGCCATCTTTAAGAAAACTATGGAATTCCTTGTGCAGGTGGCCATTGTGAGAACAGACTAGACTGGATGAGCAAGGAATCTGATTAAGGTAACTTAATCTCTTCCCCTATTACCAAGACCAATTGGAACCTTCCTTAAAGAAAAGAAAACCAATTATAGTGAGCTCCTTCGAACCTACCCAGCCAGATCTGGTTCAACTCAGATCAGATCTGAGTGCCTCTAACCAATTATTTATAATATTGTCTTCATTATTTTCCCTAAAAGGGCACAGATAATCCTAAAAGTGGGCAAACTGTGGGCACAATACATTTTGCCACTCTTCTTGCCACCTTATTTTACTACTTTAAGACAAGAGTCCCCAATAGTGGGACTGTGGCCCATTGGGAACTGGGGCACACAAGACAGCAGGTGAGAAGGCAAAAACTCCATTTGTGCAAGCAATGGGCACATGGACACACAAAGCTCCATTTTGTGCAAGTGGCTGCTGTGCACGTCCACTGCTTGTGCAAATGGAGCTTCGTGCATGATTGCGAGCACCTGTCCCTTGCGCAGAGCCATCCCCTGTCCCCCACCCAGCCACCAATGCTGTTGCTGGTACCACCAGACCACAGAGCCAAAAAGATTGGGATGCACTGCTCCAAGGGATGGAGAACCTGTGACATTCCAATTGTTGCAGAGTTACGTTTTCCATTGATTCCAATTACCATTATAAGGGACGTTGGGAGTAGGACACAAGTTCTTCACCCTGTTTTACCCATTTTAGAACTTAACTTATAAATCCATTCCTAGTATTCATACATTTATTATTATTATTTGAATATATTTTAATTGCATAACTATATCAAACGTTCTATCTTTATCTAGCTTTCAAAATAACTCTTAACACCACTAACTGCTGCTGGAAAATGTTTTTCTCTGCTCCTACTCTATGAAGACTCATGACATATACTGAAAATCTATATTTTGACATTCAAACTCAGGTTGCTATAGGTTCAGTAAAAAATGATACCAAAGCATGCACAGAATTGCAGCATGTTGTACTTTGGTTTGTCATGTCAAACTAAGCTAGAGGACCACACAGCAGAACTGGGACTTCCAGGGACAGGAGGAGCTTCTCTACCAACAGTGGCCCTCTGTGCACAATACAATAAACCAAGGGTCTTCAAACTTGGCAAGTTGAAGACTTGCGGACTTCAACTCCCAGAATTCCTAAGCTAACATGACTGGAGGAGGAATTATGGGAGTTGAACTCCACGAGTCTTAGAGTTTGAAGACCCCTGCAATAAACAGTAAAAAAAATTATGTTAATGTCTGTTTGTTAGTGTGCCACTTTTATTCACCATCATGGCTGGTTTCTATCTGCAATTTACCATACTATCCTATTGTTCAAAACCAAAATGAAGGCCATCTACAAAATCCAAATATCAGCTTTTGTACTCAAGATTTGCTATAGCTTAAGCTGCTTGGTTTGTAACCACAACTGCATTTTGGGTATAGGCAAAAAAAATAAAAAAAACCATGCAAAATTCAGTTACACAATTATGTGCCATTTATAAAGGGAAACTAACTAGGCAATATGGGCTCATCAGTTGCTAAATAACACTTCACCTGTCTCACAAACCTAGAATTGAAATCAACATCGACCAATCAATCCTCTACAGCCCCGTTTTTCCAATCATGGCGACTTTTAGATATGTTGGACTTCAATTCCCAGTCTCCCTTGGGCTGCTGAGTCCATACCAGGCGCAGAATCGCCGCTCTCCGGGGTGCGGGGGAATCCAAATTATATTGCTATACAATGTAACCCGATGATTTTTCCAGCTTTGCTTAAACGCAAATCAACCGGAGCTCCGGGAAGAAACCGGGAATTTCACAGGGAAATCTGTTGCGTTGGGTGGGTAGGGAGTCCTTCCTCAAGAACACTTGAACCGAACCTCGATTTAATTTAGTAAACCGATTTAATTTTTTAAAAGGGCTTCATTAATATCAGTGCGCCCTTCGCCTCCCCCTACTTTCCATATATACAGAGCCAATGGCACCTTCAAGACAAGGAGGCTGTTCCCCAGCAATGGCAAGAAACCTGCCCCCCCCCCTCCATTCCGTCTCCTGACGCTTAAATACTCACCGAAGCAGCAGAAGCTCTGGAACGAAAAGTGTTTCCCGCCGGGAAGAAGCCCTGTCACCCTTTCTCCTCTAGCAGAGCGCAGCCGAGGGGAAGCGCCACCGCTTCCGACTTTCGTTTCTCCGAGGCTCGCTCGGCTCTGCCCACAAGGCGAAATCTCGGGAAAACCACCCAAACCAGACGAGAGAATCGAAAGTAAAATTGTGCCGGGAGGGAAAGCGCACCGCCCACCTCGTAGCTATTAACTAAGGCCAAGGCGCTACCTGCTGGTCGGTTCCCGGCGGCCGGGCCAGGAGGAAGAGGGGGGAAAAGGCGCGTCTGAAACGCCAATGTTTCGCGCTCTTCGCGGAAATGAGGCGGGGGGGGTGGGGGCGAACCTGCAAACGGAGCTGCTCGACCCTGAAAGGCTCTGCATGGGAGAGACGGCGGTGGGTCTCACACACCCCCGCCCCCCGATGCCGGGAAAGCGTGCCAGTTTTCATAACATGACTGCGAACGATTTCAGGCGTAGATGGTTGTGAGAGCGTAGGAGCCGGTGGGAAGCTGTGGTCTCGAGATAAGATTAAAAGGATGTGCTTTGACTTTAGTGAGAAGAAAGAAAAAGACATCTCGGCATCCTAAGTTTGCATGAAATTTAACAGGATGAGTAACCCGAATGACAACGTGGTTAGTAGCAACGCTGGCCTCTGACCTGAAATTATAGAGGGAAAAAAAACGAGGACAAGAGAACTTAAAATAACTTTATTGTCACTTTGAATGTACCCTAATTGTAAGGTGACCAACTTTTTTACAATGAAAAGGAGGACACGAATAAATTGAAGAAGAAAAAACAGCAACTTGTGCACTGCATACTCTTGCGCACATCTAGACAATGGAGAGAAGGACCTGTACATTGACTACCATGCTGACTGTATCAAAAGTAAGTCACACAACCTGCAACTCAGCTTTAACCTTCAACCACAACCCTACCTCAACCAATCCACCATCACCCAAGACTAGGCACGCATGCCCCTAACTACCTCAATTCCAACTACTGCTGGCCTTAAATGCAAGCTACTCAATGCAAGAAGCCTTGTGAATAAAATACCTGAATTTTTCCTCTTACTAAATATGGCTAAATTCGACATCATATTTGTCGGTGAAACATGGCTCAACGCATCTCTCCCTGACTCCATCACCACAGTAAGAGACTATCATGTTTACCGATCAGATCGTGAAATTCGTAGAGGAGGTGGTGTTGCTATCTTCTATAAAAAGTCCTTACATCTAAAAAATATCCAAGTTACCCAGGAGCTTGCTCTTCCTGAGACCATCATCTGTGAACTATCCTTAAATATCACATTTAGATTCTTACTATGTTACAGAGCACCTGATTATGACATCGAACATGTAAACAAGCTAAATACACTACTAACATGGGCAGCATCCTTCCCATATCCTTTTATCTTTCTTGGTGATTTCAATCTACCTCATATTGACTGGACCCTAAATGAATGTACAACTGAAACCATGCAGGCAACCTTCTACAATGCTGTTACAAATCTGGGACTGGAACAACTAGTAACCAACAACACTAGACTAAACAACTGCCTCGATCTCATCTTCTGCAATAGTTTGAATTTAATTTACGGAATACAAACTAAAGAACCCTTTTCCAGCAGTGACCACAATATGATTGACTTTTGTCTCAACATATGCCCACACAAAAATCATCACAATGATGTAATCCCCAATTATAACTTCAAAAAAGGCAACTATGATCTTATAGACAACGATCTCTCATTCCTCGATTGGCAATCTCTATTCACTGGATGCAATACTATTGAAGACCATTACAACATATTCTTACTTGAAGTCAAAAGAGTCATCAAACTATATGTACCAACAACAACTCCCAAAACAAACAAACAAACAAAAAAACAGATTACCCATAACAATTAAGGAAACTTCAATCCAAAAAGAAATCACTTTGGCGGAAAAACAAATCTGGTCATGTTGCCAATTTCAAAAGCTGATACAAAAATTTATGCCGCCAGATAAAGACTGAATGCACCAATTATCACATTAAACAAGAGGAAAACCTTCTATGCACCAATTCCACCCGCACTTTTTACAATTTTGTAAACAACAAATTAAAAGACTCAAGGTCCATCCCACCCCGATAGGATCTAATGGTAAAGACTGCAACGACGACACCATTAAAGCCAACATCTTTAACACATTCTTCGGCTCAGTATTTGTAAACAGCAATGGATCACGCCCAGTATTCCTAGCCGAACCACAGATAACTACAATGATCTAATACATATCGATTTTATAGAAGACAATGTTGAAAAAACACTGCACAATCTAAAACCATCTCTATCTATTGGACCGGATGGAATATGTGCCTACTTCTTAAAAAAGCTATCCACTGCCATAGCCAAACCTCTAAGCATAATCTTTGAAAAATCTTTCAGGACCAGCTCCTTGCCAAACCTATGGTCACAAGCCACGGTCATCCCCATCTTCAAAAAGGGAGACCCTAGCCTAGTTGAAAATTACAGACCAATCTCCTTATGCTGCGTCACTTGTAAAGTCATGGAATCAATTATTAACCAATCCATTATCCTCCACTTAGAGACAAACAACCTACTCTCCAATAAACAATTTGGTTTCAGGAAAAAACTATCCTGTAATCTGCAACTGTTACACTGCAAAAACATATGGACGACACAACTCGATCAGGGCAAAGCAATAGACGCAATCTACATAGACTTCTGTAAAGTCTTTGATTCAGTGGTACACAACAAACTACTCCTAAAAATAAAATCTTATGGTATCTCTGGACAACTGCATAACTGGATAGAAGCATTCCTGTCAAACAGACAACGAATGGTCAAAATTGGGAGTGTCCTATAAAATTCTGTACCTGTCAATAGTGGTGTCCCCCAAGGCAGTGTTCTAGGACCAACTCTTTTCATACTCTACATAAATGACTTCTGTGATCATATTAAGAGCAACTGCATTCTCTTCGCTGATGTTGTAAAGCTGTTCAATACCACAGACAATACTGCTACCCTTCAAAAAGATCTTGATTATGTATTAGAATGGTCAAACAAATGGCAACTTCAAATCTCAGCAAATAAATGTTCTGTCTTACATATTGGCAAAACAAAAATCAGAAAATAAAATACAAGCTTTATAGTCAGGACCTTGTTGATGATCCAAGCTCTGTAAAGGACCTTGGAATACTCCTCTCTAATGATCTAAGTGCTAGAGCCCACTGTAACTACATAGCCAAGAAGGCATTAAGAGTTGTTAACCTAATCCTACGTAGCTTTTTCTCTGGTAACATCACACTACTAACTAGAGCATACAAAACATTTCCTAGACCAATACTCAAATACAGCTCATCAATCCGGAACCCACATTACATATCTGATATTAGCACAGTTGATAAAGTCCAGAAATATTTCACAAGAAGAGTTCTCTACCACTCTACTCGTTGTAGAATACCTTATGCCACCAGACTTGAAATTCTAGACCTAGAAAACCTTGAATTATGCCATCTTCGGTCTGATCTAAGTATGGTATATAAAATCATACATTGCAATGTCCTACCCGTCAATGAATACTTCAGCTTCAACCATAACAACACAAGAGCACACAATAGATACAAACTCAAGGTTAACCACACCAAACTTGATTGCAGGAAATACGACTTCAGCAACAGAGTGGTCAATGTCTGGAATACTTTACCTGACTCTGTGGTTTCTTCCCAAAACCCCCAAAACTTTAACCTTAGACTGTCTACTATTGACCTCACCCCTTTCCTAAGGTCTGTAGGAGGCGTGCATAAGTGCACCAGCGTGCCTACCATCCCTGTCCTATTGTTTCTTTTATTTTTCTTATATGTACCCATTTCATGTATTCATAACCATGTATATACTTGTACTTATTATCTTGTAAGCAATTGACAAATCAAATAAATAAAATAAATAAATGGTGCACTCTTGTGCGTGGCACATTCTCTCAAAACAGTTCTCCTGTGTGGAGCGCATGCATCTCATAATCATGTCTCGCTGCACTGTACTGAGCCTTGACGAATCGGCATCGATCAAATACGAGATTTACAGATTAGTCTTCAAATATCAAAAAGGAGAACATGTAGGAGGATACTTTTCGAGAGAGGACAGAACTTACAAAAGGAGGTCAGTCCTTTTAAGGAGGAAACCTTTGGTAAGGTTACTAATCGGCATACTTTAAAATGAAATTTCATTGCATACAGCTCTCAAAGGGTCACCACCTCCAATATACAGTACACTACACAAACATGATGAAATAAATAAATAAATACAAAAGTATACATACAGAAAAAGACATTCTCTCCAGGCTGAGCAGGAATTCCTTCAATAGCAGCTCCAAAGTAGTTGGCTTCTTGCTGGGAGAGATCCTAGAGAAGGCCAGTGTCTGAAGTCCCTGTTAAGCAAAGGCTAGAAGAATCCATCACTCATCTGGATCACAGAGAAACGCTGTTAATTATTTCTGTCCTGAAAAAAAAAAAATTGAGGGAAAATGTCCACTTCCAGACCACCTTCCTTTCCCTCTTGAATCCAGTTGAAAACAGATCTATTTTCAATTTATACTGACATCAGGACTCTAGAACATGAGCATGGGGATATGTTTGCAGGTCACAGAAAACAGCCTGTTGAAAGAATTACCTGCTCACCTTTCCACTCAGGTGAGTGGTTAACAGCCACCCCATCTCAATAACGATATAGAAGAATAAAGTGCTTGTACCTGAAAGATCAGGTTAGGGTAGATAATCATGGAGAAAATCTATCTGGTCGTTAAGAGTTGACTTTGATGACACATAATCAGACAACCCAAATCTGTATATTGTTACCCTGTTTATTTATCTTACTGCATATGCAGAATACATCATACAAAATACCAGTCTGGATGAATCACAAGTTAGAATTAAGATTTCTGAGAGAAATATTAACCTCAGCTATACAGACAATACCATTCTGTGACAGAAAGTGAGGAGGAACTAAAGAGTCTCTTGATGAGAGTGAAAGAGGAAAGTGCAAAACTCAGCAGTAAAAAAACTCAGCATAATAAAAAAAAGTTAGGATCACGGTATCTGGTCTCATCACTTCCTGCCAAATAGAAGAGGAAGAAATGGAAGCTATGATAATTTTCTTTTCTTGGGCTCCAAGGTCACTGCGGACAGCAACTGCAACCATGAAATTAAAAGATGCTTGCTCTTTGGATGGAAAGCTATGGCAAATGTAGACAGCACATTAAGAAGCAAAGACATCACCTTTCCACCAAAGGTCCGTATAGTCAAAACTATGGTTTTCCCAATAGTAATGTATGGCTGTGAGAGTTGGATGCTAATGAAAACTGAGTGCTGAAGAACTGAAACGTTTGAATTGTGGGATTAGAGGAGGCTCTTTAGGGTCCCTTAGTCCCTTAGACTACAAGACCAATTCAGCCAATCCTAAAGGAAATCAACCCTGACTGTTCTTTTAAAAGACAAATACTGAAGCTGAAGCTCAAATATTTTGGCCACCTAATGAGAAGAGATAATTCATTTTAAAAGACCCTGATGTAGGGAAAGATGGAAGACAAAAGGACATGGGGATTGTATAGAACAGGATGGTTAGACAGTGTCTTTGATACAGCAAACATGAGTTTGGGCAAACTTCGGGAGGTAGTGGAAGAGGGGAGGGGAATGCAATGGTCCATGGGTCACAAAGGGTCAAATATGATTTAGCAATTGAACAACAATAACAATCAAGACAATTAATCTGTTCTGAAGGCAAAGGTCTGTTAGGAATGTAAGTCACCTAACAGTTGGGTTGGAAAATTTATAAACCAGGATAGACATTTTAATACTGTCTCTTTAAGGGAATGCTAAAATTGTAATTGGTTGTGGTTCCTCAAACCGCCATAAGATGGAGTCAGAAACCTGGGTTGTTTAGTCTTGTTCTCTTGTTGCTGAGAGTGTTGCCAGTTCTCCATTTTTCCCTATTGACTGTTATTCTTGGATTTGATGTGAGTCTTTTACTGAACTGTTTTTGATACTGGACTTTGATATTGGAATTATCCCTGGACTGAAAACTGACTGGTTTAACTGTGAATGACTTGGACTATTTTGTTGAACTTTGCTTAATGGTTTTACTGGAAGTAAAAACCTACATTGTACTATACAGTGTATCTGTGTGCTGGTTCTGTGTTATTCTCCACCACTCTCACTACATCTCCCTGTGTGCGCTCATTCTCCTAACAGGGAATTACCTCAACAAGGTCAAAAGATAATTCTTCGTCCTCTAGGTTATATTGGAAAATAAGCCAAGTGACCTGTTGAAGGTATGGTGAGGGGTGAGGTATAAAAGGCATGTACACACGCTTCTTGTGTTATGGTTATCAAGGCCAAGGCAGCACCTTCTTTTTCAGTATTTGATCTTCCATCCATATATGTTTCTTGAGTTCCTTTCACATCTGTTGCTTCTCCCTATTTTTTTAACTCATTGTGTTTTCAATGAGGTAGAGAATAGGAGAGCAGAATTCCATATTTTATCCATCTCTATCCAATACCAAAAGCATTCCTGCTTTTTCATTGAAACATCATGAAAATAATTACACTTGTTGAACTGGGCACAGTTGATTCTCTGTTTCCCTGTATCAATTTGGGTCACTTTCTTCCTGAAATGTCATGGTTGCTAAGAAAGTGTCAAGATTGCTAATCAATTTTAATCATTTATAATCATCCATCCATATAACAGCTTGGTGGCTCCACAGTCATGGGAGTTTTGCTCTCATTTTTCTGTGTATCCCGTTATAATTACCCAAATTAGAAAAGGAAGTGTTGGTACTGCTTAGCTGAATTTAGCAATTTTTGTAGATAATGTTTACTTTTATGCAACATCTTTCCATATATTTCCTCAATTTACTTTATTTTAAAACTTTAGAATTTTGTTTTTGTTTTTTGTGAGATGCAAATGGCATACGGGACAAAAGTATAGGCAACATGCCTAGAGTGTTCCTATGACATTTCCAAAGAGTTGTAAAACAATGCTAGGAATCACCCCATATGTGCTGTTTGACCTCAATTATATATGGGGAGATGCTTTGCATCAGTTGGTGATGTGCTGAAGGGAATCGACATTAATGCCATTGGAGATTACCTAAAACTAATATACCTGAAATCAGGTTAACATGACTTAGCTTGGAATCTAAGAAGACGGGAAGAAGATTGGTGATGGGAAACCAATATTAAGTTGGCACTGCTTTATTCTGATAAGATGGTTGTGCAGTGCTTAAATAAATGATTGAAAAATGGCCTATGACTCTACCCATTGCTGTGAATGAATCTCTCATTCAATTTTCTGATAATGAATGAACTGATAACTGTCTTGGTGAAATTAAATGTTAGGATAATTGTTTCAAGCATGCAAAACATGCGGCAGATATTACCCAAAATCTTTGCAGAAATCTTGAATGGAAAGTCAGTATTATTAATATATTGCACATTTGCTAGGGGAAGCTAAAAAAAATAACTTGCTGGTTCTGAAGATATTTATATCTTTACAGCAGAAGCAAAAAATGGAATACTTTTATTTATTTATTTTTTGATAAATGAGAGCGACAGAGGGGGCAGGCGGGGAGGGAGAGAGAGACAGTTTGGTGTGGTGATTAAGGTGCTGGCCTAGAAACCAGGAGGCTGAGTTCTTAGGTATTAAAAAACAGCTGGGTGATTTTGCAACAGTCACTCTCTCTCTCAGTCAACTCACCTCACAGGGTTGTTTTGGGGAAAATAGCAGAAGGAAGGAACACTTGCTGCTTTGAACTGTATATTAAAAAGGCAGGATAACTTTTTTTTTTAATGAATAGACACCCATCTCCCGTATGTGTCTCTTGATGGTGCACATAGTAAAAAAACCCACAAAATTACCAAAAACATAACCACAAAAGCCACTACAAATTAAAAACAGTTAAAACCATGAAACATTTTCATAATTTAGTCACTTGTATTTAAATATAGTCATCTGAATGTTAAATTAGTATCCTTCCTCTCTGCTCAATTGGGCATGCTTATTTTATTAGGACCATCTGTCCCTTCAATATTTCATATCATAGATTTTTCTATCCTTCCTAGATCCTTTTCCCATTAAGGATTAAATCTAGTGTATCCTCCAATGGGGTTCATTAGAATCTTCTCTTCTGAAGTCTTGTATGCATTGTTGACTCTTCTGAGCTGTTTCTCTTCTGAGTATAATGAATTCAAGGATACTATGAATACTTCTTCCAAAGGTGTACCTTCTTCTACCAATCTCTTGGTAAGGATTAAGTCTAGAATAAGAGAATACCTCCTACCTTCTTCTACAGTATTTTCTGCCAAATGAAGATACAGTATCAGCAAGAGTTGTTGAATCTCTGACTTTTGGCAGGATTAGATATGACAAGTGTTTGTGAATTGTAATGTTGTTTCAAAAGGGATAGAATTGTTGTCTCTCTGAGGTATGATGGTTATTAAAAATATAAAAGACAATTTCATAATAACACTTTCACAGCATGTACATGCTAATTAGTTAAAATTAGATTGAATAAATAAAAAGCAAAACCAAACCAACCAACACTCTACAGATGAACACTATACAGAAGCCTGATGATGGCAGATGAGATTCTGCCGAAACGTTGCTACAACTTTAAAAGCACAACTACAATGACGTGGGAAAATACCCGAACAAAGCCGAATGCCATACATGTAAGTACCCGTGAAAACTTAAGTATATATAGTTTATTAATTTCTCATTTAGAAAAGGAATATCTAAATTACTTTATTTCAAAAGTACAAATGTTAAAATTTGCAATATTTATCATATTTTAGTTTTGCACCCAGTTTAGTCCCAGCTAAACATGCTTCAAATTTTGCATCCATTTCTTTGCTCTGAGCCTCAGTGAACAAAGTTCTCCAATCGCCCACTTCACCTGTGGAGGATCAATGAAAAAACAATTAGTTATGTCTTCATCTATAAAAGTTCAACAGTTTGAAATACCTTTGGAATGTAGAATCATGCACAATTTATATGCTTTGTAATATATTCATATGCAATTCTACAGTACTCAGAAATAAGACCTGTTGAATTTAATAGATATTCCAGATAGTAAAGCTTTATAGCCTAAGATACCTGGGAATAAATTAAATGAGGTAGTAGGGGTAATTAACATCCAAAAGATTGGGAGGGTGGTAGGTTGGTTCTGTGGTGGTAGGATTCATGACCACATATGTTTATTTAAAGAATGAAATATACATATTCCATTCTTTAAATAAACATATCAAGTTTATATTTTACACATGATGATAAAAGTAAAAAGACATTTCAATGTCTTTTAAAGGGCTTTGTTCCTCAATTCTGCAATGCAGCAGAAAGACAAAACTTTAAAATAGGTCCTCAAAGTACTGATACTATAGCAAATCATAAACCTTAGTTTTTGCTTTTAATATTAATTATCTCCACTAGAGGACATGTGTGTTCTTTGAAGAAACAGCAGTTAAGCACCTGAGGGAAATAATACCTTTTCTGAAAATAACAGAAGCAAATTGACCAAGAATTTCCGGAGATTTGCTGCTCATTGCTTGAAAGGTAGCCTTATCTGCAATAGACTTAACTATCTCATCCGACAGAGAGAGTTCATAAAAATCAGCAATTCGTTGGACTCCATCCAGAAGGTTCTGTAAAACAGTATAATCAATTATTTCACCTCTAAAAACATTTAAAATAATACAGGTAGTCTTCATTTTACAACAACAATTGGGACCGGCAACTCAGTTTGCTAAGCAATATGGCTGTTAAGGGAGACATCGTATCAGGGGTGAAATTCAACCACCTCGTCCTGGCTCAAGAGAGGTGGTAGGGACAATTCGAATGGGTAAAAAATCACCCCCGGTTGCTATTACTATTATATCAAGCCACGCCCACAGCTATGCCCACAGAGCTGGTAGAGAAAAATTTTGAATTTCACTCCTGCATCACATGACTGTGTCTTGGTATTTTACTGTTGTTTTTTTCATTAACTCTGCTTGTTGGAAGCCAGTCGTGAAGCATATAAGAAGTGATAACATGACCATGGGACTTTGTTAAGGTTGTAAATACTCTGCAGTTGCAAAGGGCCTAAATCTCAACCACGTGATTGTGGGGATGCTGTGATGGTCGTAAATATGAGGACCAGTTGCAAAGTTACATTTTCACCACCATAATCATGAATAGTTACTAAACGTGACACTTGTGAGGAGGGCTACCTGTACACTGTACACTGCTTTGACACCCAAGAATGGGATGAGTTAGAGTTAGTGTTTCTCAACATTGATAAGCATGAACTTCAATTCCCAGAGTTCCCCAGGTTATAGAAAATGTACAGTATTATAGTACATTAATGTCTTTATTAATGAGAGGAAGTAAATGATGTGCAGAGGTGAAAATTATGTTCAAGGTTTCAGGGTTTATAGTCAAAGCTTTAACTTTTGAAGGTCATATGTACAACGTGCTGTTTATACTAAATATTTACATATATTTTTCATTTTTGCAAATCCAATTATTAATATGTATTTCAGTCTCATTAGCATTTATAGAGCCTGAATTAGGATTCTAATTCCCTAACTGTAGAAACACCATTTATATTTTCATTTAAAAATATATAACCCAAATAACCTGGCTATCAAGTAAATTAAATAATGAAAATACACTCTATATTAATTATGAAGCTTTGCAACACAGAAAAGTCAAAGCATAGCACTGAGACTAAACACTAAAGAATAAGGCTAGATTTTTACACTGCGCTAAAAGTAAGTTCATTTGTGGTTTAGGTGTTGAATAATCCTAGCCATTGTGATTCATAAAGCATAGTTTATGGATTATCATACTAACCAAGAAACCATGATTAAGCAAACAGTGACAAAGAAAGAACAATATGTCAACACAATGTAGCTCATTTCCTAGTCATCCTATGACACCTAGGATAGAAGAATAAAAGTCTTTCCCACTTGTGCTCTGCACTCAGTTAGGCCCATGCCATTGACCTCATTGTGTCTCTAACTATACCTGAAGCAGCTTAAAGTTGTCATCACTGTTCCCTTAAGCAGTCAACAAGTTGTGCAGTTTTATCCTGTATAGATTCTGACACACTTCACCAACCATTCTATTAATGTTACAGGATCAGTCTAGCCTAGCAACCAATTGGCCGCTTCTGGCTAGTGGTGCCTTCCAGGGATATTCTATTTGGGAAAGAAGGAAATTTGGATCTTTTTATCTGGGTTCCCCCATTTAAATATCAGATCTGCAAGCTAATTTCAGCTCATAAATCTGGATCAACCTGAACAGCAATCTTGGGAGCTAAAGCAGGAATATTCACTACTGCTCATGATGGTGATAAAAAAATGGTGATGCATGTATGATGATGTCATTGGGCAAACTCCATCCTTTCTTGTATCCTGATACTGGGCACAAGTCATAGGATTTGCATCAAGATGTTATAATTCACTTTTTTGTCACTAGTACCTTTCTTGCCCCTTCTCACAGATGCCTATCTGCTCATATAGAAGTTGCTCATATGGGGAATGCTGGAGAAGGTTTCCTCCATAGCTATAGGCTACAGAAAAATGAATATGTAATACAAATATTATTTTAATTTCTAAAAGGCTTACTTCTTTCAGTTCTTCATAGGTGATTATCATAACATTTTCTTCATCCATATGTTTGTCCCAAGCAAGAGCATGGTCAAAGTAGGATTTCCATGCAACTGAAATGAAATGTACACAATTTCTATCTCACCAGCTAATTAAGTTCTCTAAATGAGACAAGGAAAATGTAACAATCTCAATTATATCAACTGTATTGGAACCAGGTTTACCATGGCTATTTTAATCCAATTTCATTGAGTCTATTGTAAATACAAGATATCTGGGTAGGGTCCAATGTGATACTGGCTCTAGGCTGACCTGCCCAAGGCACATTTTTATAATACGCAAATAAAATAAGCAAATCAACTGGATTATGTGATGAAATCTAACTAAGTTTGTTCTAATTCAGTTACATTATAAATTATTATAATCTGAATCATATCCTATTAGGACAAGTCTAATACTATTTGCAGTGATATCATTCTAGAAAATCTTTTTTTATTTGATCAGATTTGTGCTATGTGAGAAAACTTTTATCACATCAAGGAGAGAGGGGAAAAGAATGTCTGATCCTCCAAAAAGTTCTGAAAGAGTATAACAATTTTATAATGGTCAATGCATATCACATTTTTAGCTAAAAAATAAACTGAAGATTACACTTAGTAATTCCCTTCATAAATAGTTAGAAAATATGGGAAATATCTTTATTTTATTTTAAATTTCATCTATTACTTCAATTTGTCTGCAATTCCATTTCTAGACTCTGGGCTGAATATAAGCTGAAGTAATAAATAAATTACACTCATTTTTAAGATGAGGGCTTCTTTAACTCTTTTTATTCAGATCATTGAGTATTGTCTTCTGATCAGGGAAAGAATTAGAAAGGAATCCCAAAATTTGGAATCACTTCTTTTGCTGTCACCATCTTGTGGGAAAAAGAGGATATATTATATATCATAAGCTGTGCCGTGATGTGGTTTCTACAATATTATTTATACACAAATTATCTTTGGAATGTTTTCCAAAGTAGTAAAGGTATATCTATTGCAAATATACTCATCCATAGTTTAATTTATGTAACCAGGATTGCTACAACAGATAGCTTCTGATATACTATATGAATTAAATAAATCACCATTTTAAACTTGTTCATGCATGTCGATTTTTACTTCTGGTATTAAAAATGTACAGGAAGAACTAGCTTGAAATAAGAAATATGCTAAAAACATAAATAATGGACAGCTTTTTGAAGTTCAAGTCCTGATTAAATGCTTCCTTTGTATGCCAGTAGGCCAATTCCCTGAATTTATTTTTCTTCAATATTTCTTCATCAAATGAGTTAGAGAAAAAAAAGTTATGGTTCTATGCAATCACTTAGATAGGACCAGATTCTAATTTAACGGGAAACATTTTCAGGCTAAGCAGAATTGTAAATGGGAGGCTCTGAGAAGATCAAAAGGAATAAATATTGAGGTTGTGAGAATTTGAGGTTGGCCTTAACCTTCCTATCCTTTTAAAAGGGCCTAAAGTCCTGACTTTGCTAGTTGGATTGGGGCCCAATGGGGGAATGGGCCCCAAAGGAGGTGGTTGATCGAATAACAACAGATCCCACCTCCGCCACCTTCTGTCCCCGTCCTTATATTTTAATCTTTGATTTTAATTTATTTATGTTTATGTTTAATGTATTTTTTTTACTGTAAGCTGCCCAGAATTATCTTGTAAGATGGCAGCCAATAAATTTTATAAACAAACAAACAAACAAACATAAGATAACATACCTTCACCATTCATAAACTTTTGAAAGAAGTCATCCCAGGAACTAGGAGTAGGCAGCAAAGGATTTTTGTTGTAAAAATGATAATAGGATGTAGCTGCATCTTTGGGATTTCGAAATACCACCAGCATCTTTTTAAACAGATAGATGATCATTAAATGTGACTTAAAAGAATTATAAACAGCCACTAGATGTTCACAGAAACTAAGAAACTATAAGAAACTAAGACATAAATCAGGGTTGTGGTTTCTATGCCAAAATTTGCATTTGGCCTTTAAACGGTGGCATACTGAAAATCACATCCTAAAAAGTTATATATAAGGTCAAGACAAAAACATTTTATTTGCTGTCAATTGTAAATGTAGCTACATGTAAATGTAAATCAAATAGGTTTGGAGAGGGAGAGGGAGAATGGGAACAGTAATATAGGAGATATGTTGAGTAAATATCTCAGTAACATTCTTAGTTGGAGAGTTAGTTGGATAAATCTTCAGAATTTCAATTATTTTGGATAAATATTCAGAGGTGGTATTCAGTAGGTTCTGACCAGTTCTGGAGAACCGATAGCAGAACTTTTGAGTAGTTCGGAGAACCGACAAATACCACCTCTGACGAGATTTTACAGTACCCTTCCCTTGAAGAAAAAGATATGATTATTATTATATACCATGGTTTAATTCATAGATCATAACAGAACCTTCACTTGTAATTGTAAATGTTGAAGGATATAGGGGACCTATTTTTTTTGAGACTTTAGAAACATATAATATTCAGTATCTACATACTGAGATGCAACCAGGGAATTCTTTCGGACAATTGTATTTACAGTTAAACTGAACCCTTACCTTCACTTTTTTCTCCAGAAAGGATTTTGGAATGTTATCATAATGGAGATGAGTTGCATAGTAACGGGGAGATAGTTGTTCTTTCATTTTCTGAAATCAAACCAAAATATGCTAAAATTCTGCTGATGAATTTTGGGCTCAATTGTTATCATAATCAAGGATTACTTCTTCAGTTTGCTGCAAACCTGTCTGCATTAGCAAGCCCACATTAGCCTCTTCATTATGTACATGGTAATAATGACTATCCAGATCTCCTCTGTCTATAAACCAAGTCTCCTGGCCTGCCCTCTGCTCTGGAGAGGCAGCTCCATTTACATATTTCTTTTGCATACACAAAACAATTCCACAAACATACCAAAACATAAAACCAGACTGGCGATTAGGCTGGTTAGTTAGAAGTACATTCTTTCAAAACCCATGGAATGGCTAAATAAGATAACTTTGAATGGCTTTTTAAAAACGTGCATCTCAATATCTGTTTCTTTGATCCTACTCTAGAACAGGGTCATAAATTCAAAGTTTCTAACTCTATCAAAATAATGCACTAATATATAAGAGCTGTAAATTCTGTAGATTGCAAAATAAAAATAAAATCATTTTCAAGTCTGATTTTACCTCCTGATGACTTACATGAATGCATACATGCAGATTTTTCTGGCCCACAGCAATTTGGTATAAGATTATACCAGAATATTTTTTTCAAATCCTCAGTGTAGCTTACAAACCAGAGCTCTAGGGCCCAATCAGTTAAGCTCAGGTCTGGTGCTGCCATATGCTGAAGCAAGATAAATTATCCAGCATATTTAACCACTTATATTATTCTAGGCGAAGGCTAAAATCATACTGACCAGAAATTTTTCTGGGCTTCCAAATTCAAGCACTAAGTGGTGTCTTGGTAGTGGTAACTCCTTATTACTTGAAATTGCAGCGACCATTTCTATTAGTATTTGAAATACCCAGTTGGTACCTATAAGAGAAAACAGGTAAACTACATTTAGATTACAGATTGCATTAACTTTATAACCACGAGCACAAACATATGTTTTCTTGAACACAGGAAAATTTCAGCATGCCAAGCACTACTAGACCATGAATGAAAAAAAAAATCTAGAAAATTTAGACCTTAGCTTGTACATTTTGTGATGTGTTGACACTGGTTGGATATAATACTGATCTATGATTGCTAGAAAGTGAGTAAGTAGAAAATGAATCTCAGGTTTGCTCTTTCACCTAATCTACAAAGACTACATTTTCTCTGCAAGATTCAGGTGACAAGCAGGCAACGATCCTGATTTACACAGCCCATTCTAACTAAGGTTCAACCAATAGCACTACTAAAGGCTGAAAAATAATTTAACAACCGGTTCACCCAGGGTCAGGTTGGTCATGGGAGGCATGGCCAATCCCTGTCCCCCAGCTCTGCTGCACATACAGGACAATGGCAAACCTGACCCTGGGAGAACCGGTTGTTAAATTCCCCCCCCCACAACACTATCAAAGTGGATCCTGGGCAATGGAAACATGGTCAACGGAGCAACCGGCACAAGGGAAGAAGAAGCAGGGAGAAGAAAGAGGGCCTTCTCCTTCCCTTGCGCTGGCCTTGCTCATTTCTCCATTGCAGTGTAGCACAGTGTCCAGGATCCACTTTTATAGTGGAGGGTGGGTAATGGTACGAACCGATTGAATCCTACTAGTGGTCTTGGGGTTTGTAGGCATCTGTGCTCTTGTAATTGCTCTGTCCAGACAACCATTTTGCTGCTATTCTATCTTCTCATTGAGTCATTGAGAGTTGGGCAGCATACAAGTTTAATAAAAGTGTTGTTGTTGTTGGCTGCACTGTCAGTCAGAGCATCTCCCGATGCATTCAATACCTTCCTTACCTCTTTACAAAACGTCATCCTTTCTCTTTTCTTCCTTCTCCTGTCTCTTTTCCATAGGTCCTCTAGGTTCGGAGGTGAGATAGCACTTCTGTTGATTCCTTTTTTAAGTACATGGTGCTGAATTTGGGAAGGCTTCTAGTCACCAACTGGGATAAAATGTTCAAACAGCCCCAGAGCAAGATTGAAGTAGATTTACAGAGCATATTAAAAGATGTGTCAAAGGAGGTTGTCTATAATAGCCTCACCATACCATTTCTTCCATTTCCCAATCCATCAGTAACAACAGCAGTCTGAAGACAATCCATAATCATCCTTAAAACTGCCAACTTTAAAATGCCGAGAACAAAAGCAAAGAACCATTGCTTTAACTTGAGCTGTTACAGGTCTGCAGTAATAATTGCTTTAACTTGAGCTCTTACAAGTCTTTCCCACTTCATGCAAAAAAAAAATATGAATTGTTTGCATACAGGTCTCTTGTTTCAGGCCTCTGTAGTAATCCTTATTTTTAGTGTGTGGATCTGTCTGGTTTTATGTAAGAAGATAAAAAAAATCCATTGAGGGACAATTGAGGAATATATCAAAGTGCCACCTTTTCTCTTCAAAGAAGCCCAGGAGCCAAAGGTATGGAAAGGCAAAAATTCCTATAAATGCCATATTTCCTTGAGTTCTGTATGTTATGTAGTAACTACATTTTACCATCTTGGGAAGTTGTTTATCATTCACAGAGGCAGTTCCACTTTGTTGGACTGTGGCCAATGTCCAAAGTCTGAATTACTGTGACCAGGCTATCCCTGTTTTGCACTGTTTATTGGTTGCATTGTTTTACAGCAGCAACTGAGAGTACTTTGGCTTCCTAGGGTGCTAGTGGCAAGGAGCAATTAAAGAAAACTCTCAGTCTGAATTCCTGCCTTTTCAAGGCACATGCATCTCAACTCAACATAAGTCATTCATCCAGTTCCAGGAATTAGGGCCAACATGTACATGCCTGTGTTATTTTTCTTCTATGTTTCCAATTTCTACACCGCCTTCTTCCATATGACTCTTAGATCTGGCCAACCATGTCTTCATTACAATGATCAACCAACAGAAAAATGTCCTTTCTTGATTTAAAGAGGATAGGAATATTTGTTCAATTATTTCCCGATAAATAATCTTTTTCTAAAAATTAAATTTTGCATTCAGTTTAGGTGCAGTTAAAATGTCTAGCTTCAAACCAAATGTCAGCTTTCCAATTAACAAACTCCAAACCAATAAACTCCGAGACAGACAATTTCTCAAACTTCCATTGTATTGGAGTGGCCATATTGGCACATCTGGGAAAGCCTGAATCTGAGAGTTCCCAGTTTTCCCTTCGTAATTGAAATCCAAAACCCAAATCCCCTGCACCTGCCAGTCCATCACATGGTCCAATCACCAGCCATTCCAATTGGAGACATCCCTTGAACCACTCCTTTCCCAAGTGCAGGATCAGGGGTGGGATGCTACTGGTTCTGCCTGGTTCTAAAGAACCAGTAGCTCTGAAGAGCAGCAGACACCAAACTGTTTATGTCTTTGCTGCTTTTTGGCCCACCCACCCACCCTGGCTCTTACCTGTCCTTTATTTCCTGCTTTTTCAACCTCAGCTGCTTTGCACAGCAAAGTTGAGGTTGAAAAAGCAGGAAAAAAGAGGCTTTTCAAACACTGCGCACCGGTGCACAGCGCTTTTCAGCTGTTCGGGTGGCACAGGTTAAGGTTTTTTTACACGTAAAATGCACATGCGCGCGCAAAACGTAGTCACCGAACCGGTAGTAACACCGGTTGAATCCCACTCCTGTGCAGGATGGCTTGTCCTTGACTCAGAAGAAGAATGTTGTTGTGTCTAAACTTCCACCTCTCTGTAAGATCCCCCGTCCCAAATTCCCATGCACTAGAATGTGGTAGTGTGGAAGTTTCTAAGTAAAACCTGGCTTCCAAAGCTGTCACCCAAAAGATTTTTAAAAGGGTTGGGGCCAGCCTGTCTGAAGACATGCTTCTTTTTTTAAAAAAATGTGTACACATAGTCCTAATCACAACTTAGACCAGAATTTCTGTTGCCAAACAAGCCGATCGTTAACAGAATAACAGAGTTGGAAGGGACCTTGGAAGTCCTCTAGTCCAACCCCCTTTAAGTGAATTACTGTAGTCAAAATGTATAACATGGTTGAGAAGGGAATCTGGCTTCCCCCATTGACTTTGCATGTCACAAATTGCAATCACATGATCCCAGAATGCTGCAGTTGTAAATACATGCAGATTGCCAAGCATCTGATCTTTGATAACGTGACACTGGGGATGCTGCAAAGATCATACATAGGAGGACCAGTTGTAATTCACAATTTTCTGTGCAGTTATAACTGTGAACTGTTAGTAATGAATCAAGGACTGCCTCTATTCTTAGCCAAAAATAAATAAATAAATCAAATGATCAGCTAACGGGGTAAGACATCTCATCATAGGATCTAAATCTTTAAAATGCTGTCCTCAAGCCTAATTACATTATTTTTGAGGGATGGATACAAAACTAAAAGTATTTTGTTTTTAACAGAATATAACAAGGCAGCTTATGCAAATTATTCCTGACTTCTAGGATCATAAAAAGCTGAGCAGTTTCACTTGGTGCCTAGCCATTGTCCAGTCTTCTCCAAACACATCCCTTCTAGATTGTTTTGGGGATTGACAACTGCTACCTCCCATCATATAGCTGAGGGTGATGACAACTAAAACTCAGGATATTTTCAGGATGTCATTTTGGAGCGTGTATTGTAATATATTGCAGATAAGCTTGAGATTATCCCAGAGGCAGCAAAATGGGGGATAAATTTGAAAAAAGTGATGAAAAGGCCACAGCATAATGTTCCTCTTTCCTTTGCAAAAGGAAGAAAGAAGATTAAATACTCACCACATTTGGGATAAGCAATTAACAGCATATCATCCTTTCTTGCTTCAAAAGTTTCCAGTGCTTCAAAAGTTTCTGCACTACAAAGGCGATTAGGATACAAAACTCCTTTGAAAGTGAAAAGAAGCTCTTCATTCTTGTTGTCTTTATTCTCATCAAACACCTTATTAATTTGTTTCACAAAACTGTCATTTTCTTCAGCCATTCTTTTCTCTTGCTGGCAGTCTCTGCCTTGTCATGAATCCTTTCAAAAGGCAGGTCTCGTTTTTATGCCGTCTAGATTCTTAGATCCCTCCTTTCTCTTGCTCAATAAAGGAAAAAGTACTGAGAACACAGCCATGAATCATTAGTCTTCGCACGCTACATCCTGGTTTGTGTTGATTACATAACAGCTTTGGGAGTGCAAATTACTTAATCTGTGGTAGAAGAGCAGAACTTTCTTCCAAGAAGAAAACAAATCATTTGAGAGATTGTGGTGCCAGAAGCCAAAAAAAAAATGCAAAGTAAACAGCCTGAAACTGTATCAATTGGTTAAAATAAAAGGTTTCTTCTTTCTTTAATGGAAGGACTATATGGAACTATGAGTTTGTGAGTGGGACCAAGCTTAATTATGTTGAGCTGAAGGCAAAGGTATACTGTAATAGGAGAGTGAAGGTTCATTCTCCGAGCTTGTGGGCTGGTTTCTGAATGTTTTGTCACCAGGCTAGGTAACATCTTCAACTAAGTTTAGGGGAGTGAACTGAAAATATTACCTAGCCTAGTGACAAAATGTTCAGAAACCAATCCACAAACTTAGAGAAAGAACCTTCACCCTCATTCTACATCTGAGCTATGGATATTTGCCACTAATAGTGTAATATATCTGAAATATATTTTTAAAACCACATTATTTAGAATTACAGCTATGTATGTCAGCAATATCACCCAGCCATATAATGTTTTTTTTTAAAAAAACCTATAAATATTGTCTCAGAATTTGCATCTATGAATGAGAATTAGAGTTGTAGTTATATAGCCGTGTAGTCCACGTCTTAAAGACTGATCACTTAGCAACATTCAAAGTTACAGAGGATCCCCCCAAAACTACTTAATGACATGGTTCCAAAATTACAGCCCCTACAGTGCTCCTATGGTTGTTTGTCCTTTCCAACCACAGGGACACTGCCAGATTCCCCTCCCATCTCTACCTCATCGCCCCCACCAGATCCCCACCAGCTTCAGGCCTGCTTCCCACCTTACCAGGCCCCACACTCTCCTCTTCACTTACCTTTCAAAGAATTCCAGAGCTCTGGTTAGGGAAGCAAAATGGATTGCTTTGTTGTGCAGCTGTGTTGAGGTAATTCCCCGTTAGGAGAATGAGTGCATACAGGGAGACGTATTTGAGAGTAGTGTTTGAATAATACACACACAGCACACAGATACACTGTACAGTAAATGTAGGTTTTTTACTTTCAATAAAGGTTTTAGGCAAAGTTCAAAAACAAGCACTCCAAAGTCATTCACAGATAAGATCAGTCAGTTTTCAGTCCAGGGATAATCCAAATATCAAAGTCCAGTGTCAAAAACAGTTCAGTATCAGACTTACATCAAATCCATGAATAATTAGAAGGAACGGCAGAACTCTCCAACAGAAGGGAAAAAAAACTCACTGAGACACACTCCCTTCTGAGACTAAGACAATCCAGGTTTCTGGCTCCATCTTACGGCCTTTTGAGAAACCACACCCAATTACAAATTTTGCATTTTCTTAAAGATACAGTTTTAAAATGTTTATCCTGACTTATATATTTCCAACCCAAATCACTATTAGGTGACTTACATTCCTAACATTCTCCCCTTTTGGGTAGGACAATATATACAACCTTACGTTCTAAGTTTATAATCTTCACAGCAAGCTTTATGCTTTATAGAGCCTTGGGCCTTTGTAAAATGATCTGCTATATTGTTTTCTGACATACAGTATTCCAGCTTAATCATTTTATTTTGCACACATTGTCTCACATTTAAATATCTTAAACCTGTGTGTTTCGTTCTTGTTTTAACAGCAATATTTGAAGCCATCTGTATTGCTGATTGGTTGTCTTCATAAACAACAATAGAATCTGTTACATCAATTCCCATGTCAATTAATAATTGTTTATACAAAACAATCTGTACATAATAAACATGAGAATTCAGCCTCCATTGTTGACAAACTTAGATGTTTCTGTCTAATAGACCTCCATGCAATCAACACCTTTCCCAATAATACTACAGTACCCGATGTAGATTTTCGTGTATTTGTCTGTAGCAAAACTTGCATCAGCATATGCAGTTAAACTCAATTCATCTTTTGGCTCCTAATACAATGCATAGTGCATTGTTTGTTTCAGATAACTTAACACACGTTTAGCAGCTTGCCAGTGTGTTTCAGTTGGCTCAGTGTTAAATCTCACTAATTGATTAACACAGTATTCAATATCTGGCCTTGACCAATTACTGAGATAAGATAAACTACCAATCAAGGACTGATAAATGTTCTTATCAAAAATAGGACTTTGAACATCATTATAGCTAAACTCCTGGCTCATTGGTGTTTTAGCCGATTTACAAAGTTCCATTTTAAAACTTTTTAGTAATTGGTTAATTTTATCTGCCTGTGAGATTGTGTATCCTCCCTTAGTTCTATCTATCTTTAAACCAAGATATTGTTTGATTTCTCCTAATTGTTTTATTTTAAATTTCTTTTCTAATAGTGAGATTATTTTAGTAGCTTCTTGTTCAGTTTTGGTGATTAATGCTATGTCATCAGTAAATAATAGCAACAATGAAATTACACCATTACTTTCTCTTTTAAACAAACATGGATCAGCCATGCCAGCTACAAAACCTATCTTAGTTAATTCTTTAACTATACATTGGTTCCACTCATATCCTGATTGCTTTAAGCCATAAAGACTCTTTTTTTAATTTCCAGCAATCATTATTATCATTTTTGAGACCTAAAGGTTTCTTTAAATATATAGTGTGTTGCAATGGTGCATGCAGATAAGCTGTCTCTACATCCAAATGATTTATAATGTATTTCTCCTTAGCTGCCCAGACTAATGCTGCCCTTAATGTAGTAGCCTTCAGACTAGGTGCAAACACCTCATCATAGTCATTTGCTGTCTGATTGATCCCTTGTGCTACTAACCTGGCTTTATGGGTAACAGTCCCATCTACACCTGTCCTTAGCTTATAAGTCCATTTACATCCTATGGCATGTTTACCTGGTGGTAACTTAACGTTTTCATTTTCCTCCAATTTTTTTAATGATTCCAGTTCCTTATCCGTTGCTTTCTGCCGAGCAGCCTGATCTTAGCAGGATATAGTTTTAGTTCATTATAATTACTTGGAACTGTATTCACTTGGCAAACAACACTAGCCTGATATCTATCAGGTGGTCGTGTTACTCGGGTTGAATGTCTTGGTAATACAGGGCTTACTGGTGGACTCACCTGTGCCACCTGCTCCTGTTCTACTGCTTCCTCCTGTGCTTCCTCTTTAATGGCTATTTGTGGTTTACTTATTTTATCTTTAGGCACTATTTGGGTGTCAATAATGATACCATTGCTGGATTCCTGTTCCAGTTTATCCCATCCAATGTGCTCGATAAATTTTGCATTAGCACAATAAACATGAGCTGTGCCTTGATCCCAAAATCTAAATGATCTATCATTGGTCTCATAAACCACAAAAAATAACTTCTTAGCTCTTTGTTGCCTTTTCATTCTTACTTGTGAGGGAATATGCACCCATGCTGGAGCTCCAAATGTGTGTAGGTAACTTAAATTTGGTTTTCTGCCATGCCAATGAGTGAATGGCAATTCTCCAGTTGTTGTATTAACTACATTATTTAAAGCATGGTTACTACACATTATGGCCTCACTCCACAGTGTTTCAGGCAAACATGAATCAGATAACATAGTACGAGCCATGGCTTGTAATGTTTGCCCTCTTCGTTCTACAAACGAGTTACGCTGTGGTCTGTAAGGTGAACGTTTATGCTCAACACCAGCCAATTTCAGCATTGTTTGGAATCTTTTGTTAACAAACTCAGTCCCATTATCAGTAACTAATGTAATTACTTTTCATTTTTCTCTCAGCAAACCTTAGCCAGTTAAAGAAATGTTGGAATGTTTGTTTTGTTTTTCATAAGATAGCAGAAACCTTATCGTGAGTAATGGTCCATAATACTCAAAATATAACAGGCACCTCCTAAACTTGGTGATGTAATTCTGGAAGCAGCTGCCATATTCCGGGCGGCTACTTTGAATTGTTGTTGCTTGGAAAATGGCGACTGCTTCTGGAATCGCACTGCATGGCCAACCAAATAAGCAATCCATTCTGTTTCCCTAATGTAGTCTAAGCAATGCTATGGAAAGTTCTGGAGATCTTCAAAAACAAGTGTGTGATGCGTGATGTAGGGTAGAAAGGAAGCCCAAAGTCTGTGGGGAACCAGTGGTGGAGAAAAAAGTCTCAAAACTGGAAACCCTGAAGTGGAGCATGGGGGTGTCTTAGGTGGTGGGGGACACCTTAGAAGGCCTGGGGCAGGTAGGCCTGGGGCTGTGCTAGGTCTCCCAGGGCTTCCCGCACTCATGTAGCACCCTGTGCTCTGCTTAATGAGGCATGTAATTGTTCCATGACCACATCAGGTACACCAGGGAGTGGGATTCATTAAGCTAGGCCCTCTCACCATATACAACCATAATGGGCAGGGTCCTTTAAGGTCAAAATTGAGGACTACTTGTAGGACATATACCAGCTCAGTGGGGCTTCTTTCCAGGTAATTTATTTTTTTAAAAATGGTAGCAATATAAAAGTAGAATAAAACGTATCTCCAACAACTGTTGCAAACTAATGTGAGTGCTTTGTCTTATAGTTGCTGATTTGGATGGTACTTCCCATTTTCTTTATATTGCAGCATTCAGATTAACAGTAAATATAGTGGAAATTCAATCTTAGTCTTGATGCAAGTTGCACCCAGCCTAGGGCAGGTCAAAGAAAAGCTTTAATCACTAATATTCCTCAACCAGCTATTTAGTAATATTACTGACTGAAAAGTTACAGCATGATTGCATCAACATGAAATAACAATTTATCCACTGTACAAATCGAAGTAAGAAATATTTGGAGTAACTATGTCATCAGTATTTTATCATTTTCTATTACCTTTTTATAGCTATGAAAGTAAATGAATCCTTTAAGCACAAGCCAGACAGCAAAACCAAAACACTGTTGCTGCTGTTTTGGTGAAGGCCTCCATCTCAATTTTGTTGAGTATTCTCAATTGTATTGAAAAGGACCAAGTAAAATGATAGCTTGCATGTGATTTTAAAGAAAACTAAACTACTGGAAAACAAGAGTTTCAACTTTATCCCAGTTCTAAATGACTTTCTTACAGTATTACAGTTTTGTTGAGTAAATTACAGTAACCTTCACTGGCCTCAAGGAACTTTATTCCCAGGCAGGAACTGTAATCATCTTACCTATAAACTGTTACTTCTCAAAGAAGTTAAAATATATTGTACGTCACTCTTAGCAAGAGCCAAAGTCCCTATACCCTCATCTCAATCTGTTCGAAAGGTCAGCAAAGCTTGTTTTAACTAGTTGTCTTTATCATTAAATCACACTTCGTTTAGATACTGTTTAGAACTGTAGAGTACAGGAAAAAAAAACTTTAATGAAGGAATGCAAGCCTCTTTTAAGGAAAATAAATTACTATAATAGGAATGGCAATATGAGAAACAGCCTCGAGATAACTTTGCCTTGATTCTGTTTGCTGTAAGGGGAAAGAGGAAATGGAGAAAATTAGGGCATTAAGACCACTTGGCAATAACATGTTTGCAACAGAAGTCAAAGCCTAACATTCAATATTTTCTAAAAAACCTTAGTATAAGATAAATTAATGTTTTATATTAAGTAGATGTTTGTATCAGTAGGTTCATTTCTTTCTAAATTCTGTATTCTGTCATATGATTCATTGGGAAGAAAATTCAAATATACATCAAGATTACATTTACTTCATAAGTTTAATAAATAAGTGCTTTGGCAAATCATGGCAGAATTGAAACGCAAGTAAATACAAGCAGCAATCTGTGCGTCTTGCCTTTAGAAATCATGCTGATTTTGAATATTGCCTCAAAACATATCACTCCGGTTTTCTGAATTTGAAGTGAGGGGAGG